TTTCGACGGTGCTTCGTCGTCTCGGGCCTTGCGGCGGACAGCGCGCCTCTACGCGTCTAGCTGCACGCGTCTAGCTACGCGTGTTTCGCTTCGATGTGTGCTGTCGCTCGACGGCGTTGAGCCCCGCGCCGCGCACGGTCGAGCCCCGTCGCCGGATTTCCCTGTTTTGTGGGTGTGGGCGCGGTCTCTGCCTCTGTGTCCTCCACCCCTCGCAGGGCCCCTCCTTTGGCGGCGGTGTTTGTTTCTTTCCGCTTTCTGCTCTCTCGGAAAATTTTCCGCTGGTGTGTTCCCCGCATGCACATGACTTCATATGATGATATGATATGAAGAATGAAGCCGGCGAAGCCGGCGCCGGCGGGGCCCGCGGTCTACAAGCCCAAGACTAAGTCAATCGAATGGTCCTTATAGCTACCTAAAAAAAGTTCTCAATAAAACAGGCGCGGACAAAACAGTGAGAACGGGTACACAGGGGCCGAGCAACCTCGGAACGACGTAAACCCCCGAGACACAACACTCCGCAGGTCACAGCAGTCGCTCACACACGTCACAGAGGGGAGGGGCTACCTAAGCCTTGGGCGCCTCGTAGGTCGGCTCCTCCGCCTCCGCAGGCGCAGCCTCAGCCGCCACCTCGTGTTGAAGCGCCTCCGTGTTCTTCTCATCGACCTCCTGGATGACAGCAGAGATTGCCTTCTTGGGGTCCTCGAACGCAAAGGCGAGGTCTGCGAGGTACCAGGAGAACTCGGTCAGGCCGATCTTACGGTCTGGTTCGCCCCTGACATCGTACCACTCAAAGAATTCCTTTTCGTTAAACGCTTTGGACGTGTACCGTTGCACGACGTCCTTGAGCTCATCCTTAGTCAGAGAGCCGCTGCCATCCTTGTCAAGCTTCGTGAAAAGCTCACCGATCTCTTTCATATGGTCCGCCACAATTGGATCGTACTTCTCTTTGTCCGTTTGCGCCTCGTCCGAGCTGTTCGCCCCGCGGAACGAGTTGGTGCACTTGAGCTCGGTGATGGGCGTGAACATCTCGCTGATGGAGGACTTCAGCTTCTCCAGCATGCCGGGCTCCTCGGGCGCAGTCTCGGGCGCCTCCTCCGCCGCCAGGCCGCGCGAGAGGACGCCGTCCAGCTTCTCTGGCATGCCAGGCTCCTCGGGCGCAGTCCCGGGCGCCTCCTCCGCCGCCAAGATGAAGCTGTCCACCTCGGCCGGCGCAGCAGGCGCGTGAGCGTAGTCGGCGGACTGGCGGAGGGAGCCCTCCTTCAGGGCCTGCTCGTAGGCGACGGCGTTCTTGCTGGCACCGCAACCCTGTGCGGCGGGCGGCACGGGTGAGGCAGGCGAGGGGGCAGCGCGGAGGCAAGCGTGGCGCAGAGTTCACCATGATGGAGAACGGAGACGGAGGTACGTACGTGGCTCGTGGGGGACGTGCGACACAAGTTCCTTGGACCTTGGCCACGTGGGGAGCACGGAAGCCCTGCGGACATCCGCCGTGTTCACGCCGGGGTTTTCACGTATTTAGGTTAAATGGGAGAAAAGGGGAGAGGGGGTAGTGTGTTCTCTAGGGGTAGTGTGTTCTCTATAAAAGGCCCTACGGGCCGGGGCGCTCTCTCTCAGTGTATGCAGCTCCTCATTCCACCAGCGTGGAGTTTCTAACCGCAGGCATGCTCCGCGAAAAGGGATCCGGCTGTGCCTCGCCAGCGGCGGCCAGTGGTGGCCGCAACCAGCCGCCGGCGTATTGATCCCACGGGCCGCTCATTTCTCCCGGCGGGCGGAGGGCCGGAGGCTTCGCGTTTCGAGCCACAACGGATTGCGCGCTCCGCTTTTCGAACCACCAAAACTCGCCGACCCAGGTCCAGGTCCAGGTCCAGGTCCAACAAGTTTGCGCACGGCCCTCTAGCGCCGCGCGCTGGCCCCGGCTGCGTCCCCGCGCGGCCTGCCCGATGGCGTGGTGCCCGCCCTCCACCCACCTCCCCGCGCGGGGCCGCTCCGGGGCGACCTGGGCGCCCTCCGACCAAACTGCTCTATTACTATCATATAACAGTACGAACTCAACATACTGGGATTTAGGTGGTTTTATGACGTGAGTCGTGACTGTGAGTCTCCTCAAAATTATGCTACAATTCGAGCTGCCGCCGCCGCCCTCCACCTCCTCCACACCGCCGCCACCGCCGCTCACGCCGCCGCCGCCCTCCACCTCGGTCCTCGCCCACGCCGCCGCCGCCCTCCACCTCCTCCACACCGCCACCGCCGCCGCTCACGCCGCCGCCGCCCTCCACCTCGCCCACGCCTCCACCACCCTCCACCTCCCCCACACCGCCGCCGCCGCCTCTCGGCTGCTGCTGTTCGAGTCGTTCGGTGGGTTTGGGAAGGGGGGTCGGCGAGATCCGAGATCCTCTGGGGGGCGGCGAACGTGCTGCAGAACAAGCTGACGCGGGCCCAGTACCTCGATGAGGTGACTTGGACCACCAAGAGCTGGCTGGGGCTGCAGAAGCAGCGCATCTCAGTCGTTCTTCACACGGCCATCGCACAGAGCAGATTGTGAATGAGCTTGCCAGCGGCGAGGGCGGTCGAGTGCACGGAGCTAAGTGCCTCGCCGTCCTCGCGGGAGTCGCTTAGGCGGCTCCAGTGGTGTACCTGTGTTATAGTGCCAGTGCGCGCCAGTCCCGTGCCCAGTGTTGTGAGAGGGCAGTGAACTTGGAGCACTTGGAGTGCAGTTGGCAGCCTCACATCCAGGGCCGGGGAGCTCAGAAGCGCACCCAGCGGGCCGGATGATCGGGATCGGGTTGCGGGCAAGAGAGCCCTAGCCCCGGGGGTGCGCGTTCGCAGGGAGAGGGCCTTAAAGTAAACACGGGTCTCCGAGGGTTGGACCCGCGTACCGGGTTTCCCCTTAACTGCAGGACGCCCCCTCTACTCGGAGCTAGTGGACATTACACTGGACACCACGCCCAAACATAGACACTTGCTTAGTCCTCGGTCCCGGAGCTCCACCTTCGGTCCTCCCGGGGCTCCGGTTCTCCCCGATTCGCTCTCTTGCTCGCTTGCCGAGCGTCATACGACGGCCGGTGCGGTCGTGGAGGCAGGTTGATGTTATTGAATTTAACTTGAGGGCAAAAGAGAAAATATTTGGCGATCGATGCCGAACCTACCTCGCGCGCGGCAGCGCGCGAAGCGAAAATTCCAGCGGCGAGCAGTCTGGCGTGGCCTCTCGGGCCATAACACCGTGGACCCGGGACGGCCCTCCATAGCAGCCCATAACATGTTATGGGTGTTATGGCTGTTATGGGCCCCTTATGGGCTGCTATTCCCAGAGAGCCATAACACCATAACAATAACTGTGAGTGGGGTCAAATGCCGCAAAACGCACCTCGAGAACGAATCGAAAACGCGCACACACGCCTCACTGACCCCTCACGCGTGTGTGTGGCGGCGACGATATAGAGAGGGCATCGCGCGCGCCTCGCGTGCCTCCGGAATCGCGACGTAGGGGCCTGTGTTTCGAGAGAGGATGATGGCGGGCTGAAACCGCGCTCTCTTCACACCAAGCACACATGCCAAACAACAAACGCATTGCTAAAAATCTCTCTCTCACATGCCCCGAAGCCGACCACGGAGCCAGCCCTAGAGCCAGACCCCTCCCTCCCACACAGACAGGCGGATCTCGACTCTGCCTACGCCTGATGAACCCGAATTTAAAGAAAGCAGCCCAACCCGGAATCCGGGCGCCTCCTTGTCAATGAACATCATTGCCGCCGATTTCCTTGCAGGACTCAGTCTCAGAAGCAAACCTTGCAGGACTCAGACAGACAGAAGCAAACCACGAGTCAGTTCACCTCACACTCGTGCGCTGCCCGCTCCGCCCGTCGCGCCGCGCCAGGCCGAGAGCGCGCCTCACCGCGTCCCCGCGCCTCACCGCGTCAGGAAGTCAACCACCATGGCGACATTCTCAAAGGTCGTGATGATCGCCGCCGCTGGGGTCGCAAGCGCGTTGCCCGTGAAAGAGGCGGCTTCCGTGTACCATACCTGCGACACGACGAGCGACTGCGCGCAGTACAAAGAGTGCCAGGGCCAGCAGTGCGAGTGCACGTCCGATCCCGCGTACAACCAAGAGCACCCCGGGCGCTGGTTCAAGCCGAATCAGTGCGTCGACAAAGACGTGGGAAGCACTTGCCTGCACATCAACAACATCATCGTGGAGAACAAGTGCGGGTTCGACATCGACATGGTCGGTTTTGGCGGTCCGGAGAACAAGTGCAAGCTCCCGAACGGGAAGAACGAGGGCGACATCCGCGCAGAGGACAGCTGCCAGACGATCAAAGCACACGGCAAGGACAAGCTGCAGAGCGGCACCCAGCAGCACGCCGCCTCGACACGTCTGGCCTGGCGGTTCAGCTGGCAAGGAGACAGCGACCCTGTCCACGGCAACCCAAAGCACTGCGCCGTGGTGGGTCCGGATGGCAAGTGTGCGGTCGTCGGGTCAAAGCTCACGAAGAACACCTTCATTGAGATGAACGTCGGTCTCACCGGGCCCGGCCAGGAGCTGTGCATCGGCGGCGGCGCCACGCAGGGCCAGGTCTCGCCCTCGTTCTCCAACTACCAGGGCTTCAGCATGTCCAGTGAGTACTA